TGAGCTAGAAGAGGAAATGCCTTTTGTTCAAAGGCAATTAAAATTAAATGGGACATGACTGAATCCCGAAGACATCTGAACTCCTCCGCTGACTTACATTACCCTTTTTCCACAGACTGCACGCTCCGAGGAAATGCTATTCCAGCTGTAGGTGTTCCCTTTCCTAAGCTAAAATTTCAGAGTCGATCTGCTCTGCTAATTCAAAGCTGACAGTGCTGATCAGAGCAAGAGGCAAAGCACTTAACTGCAAATTTTCTCCATTTTTTTAAAATCTGGCTTTAAACTGCTGCTCCAGTTGCACAATGTTTAGGTTGAAAGGAAGCACTTAAGAAGGAACATCACATTCTTTCATTGTGTGCCAAAACATAATTAGCTAGAGAATGCCTCTGAAGAGAGCTGTCCCAGCTTTTTTTTTTTTTCCCTCAAATACTCATTAAACTGCAGAATTAACACTGCTGGCTCTCCCAGGAGTTGTATTTGCAGTGTACAACAGCTGGAGTTCCCAAATCCTAAACTTTTTTCCTTTTTTATCACCTGCATTTGGAAAAATATTATCTTTTTAGGCGCAAGATTCTGTGAAAAACACCGATCAAAAATTCCTAATGTGGCCGTCCACGGGAGACTTCCAAATGCCTCAACATCCATCTGAGAAGACTTCAAAAACTCAGTCTCAGCAAGAGGACTGGATCTAAGGTGACACCTCGACAGCACTCCTGTGCCAGCACCTTCTGGCTGGAATTCACAAGCTGTGACACAACCAGATCGCTGGATGGCAGACATCCTGCTCTGCAGGAAAAGTACCGGGACAAAACAATTCCCTGCTGCTGTAGGGATGGAGGGGACAGTGTTTCCATAAGGACACTGTGCCACGTTCCGGGAGATGCCGCTTCTGTCCTGCAGATAAGCACGCTGGGATGACACAGAGCCGCTCTGCTCGCTCAGCAAAGTAAGGCTTCGTAAGACAACGTGGTCTGAGACCACCAGACAAGCCCAGCAGGGGTTTTGTCATCCCCATTTTCTGCCTTCATCCTTGGCTGATGGCTTCCGGAACCAAAGGAGCAGTTCTGGTGCCTCTCAACAACCTGCATCACTCAAGAACTACTGTTTGCTCTTTTTGGCTGCCTTTAGGTGGCAGAAATGCCCACAGAGAAAGACAAGACAGAAAAGGGCAATGGATTTCTTGAAAATTCCCCTCACAACTCAGCACCTGAGGAGGGATGAGACTGTGCTGTACCTGGACACTGCAAGCTGGATGAGGAAAAGCAATGGACTGCTAAGGAGAGAGGCTGATGTGGGACACGTGTCTGTCTCTGGTGCCCTCATTGCTTTACTTTGCTGTCACTGGCCCCAGGGATACAGACAGCTCAAGAAATGGTTCAGGTGGTGGTTTTGCAGCCTCTGCAGAGCTGCAGGTGCTTTCTGCAGGCAGCAGGGCCTGGCACCATTCTGTCACAGGTCAGATTCCAGATTTCTTCCAGGAGTGCCACTGAGCAGCGATGGAGCTGCTGTGTGGGAGGCTGAGGAGAAGTGAAGATGCAGCATAGCCTCGAGCATCAGCACCTTCAGGCTGACTGTGCCACCAGTGACACAGAATCGGTTGCTCCTTGACAGCCCCCAGGCACTGCAGCACATTGTGCATGAATGCAGGTAATTCAATGTGGTAACTCCCTGTGCCTGCACTGCAGTCTGTGCTGATATTTAACAAAAATAAACCCCCAGGTGCTTTAGTTTGCCCTAAGTGACTTCTCAGGCGAAAAGATCAGCTGCTGACAGCAGCCAGCCCCGGGCCAACTCAAAATACACACCAGCAATGCAAAGAGACACTCGGTAGGGGCTCAGAAGTAGGACAGCACATCTGAGACAATCCCAGTGCAGCTTTTACCTCCAAGTCATTAAAACTCTCAGCTGAGGAAGACACAGTTTGAAGCTGTGGCTGCCCCATCCCTGGAAGTGTCCAAGGCCAGGCTGGATGGGGCTTGGAGCAACCTGGTCAAGTGGAAGGTGTCTCTGCCTGTGGCAGGAATTCAGAACATCTAGATGATCTTTAAGGTCCCTCCCAATCAAAATCATTCTGCAATTCTACAGTTCTCTACTGTTTAAATCAGAATTTACAGGATCAAATACAGCCCTAAACATTCCTGAGTACAGCAATGCTAAGGCTGTGCAAGAGAGGAAGACAATAAAGGACAGAAAGTTGTCTTCCAGATTCAGGGATTTTGCCTGATGTACTGGGTAATTTAAAAGATGCATTCCTATATAGCTTTCTGAAATTCAAATACAACCCGTTTCTCATGGAAAGGACTAGAAATAAAACACAGGATCAGCATACCACTG